TTTTCTTTTTCTTTTTTTTTAATATTCCAAGTACTGTTTCTATCTGTGTCGGCCCCCTCCCCCATTGTTTGGGAGTACTACAATTTTGTCTGACTTATGGTAACTCTGTTATGTTTATGTTCCATCTTATGCTGTTTCTTAAAAATATGCTAGTAAGAAAAAGGACTGTATGGTTATATTGATCATTGTAATCACTTGGTACTGATTGGTGATTTTATAAATTTCTCTATGCTTATTAATCTGTATTTCTTCCCCCTCTTCTGAGATCAGTGTTAAATGCTTCCCTCCTCCAGCTTTTCAAATTATTTATAGAGTTGAACTTAAAGAAATATTTTAATTAAATTTTTTTTCTTTTTTTCTATTTAAAATTTTCAAAAATCGGGTTAACTGGTAGTTTATTCTTCTATAGAACCATGCCTTGGACTTATTGGTTAACTTTTAAAGTCATCGATTTCTATTTTATCTTTACTAATTCTTTCCTTCTGCTTCCTTTGATTTGTTTTTAATTTGAGTTGGATGCATTATATTCTAGTTTGCTGAAAATAAGGCTATGAATTTTTCTTTGAGCACTGGTTTAGTCCTATCTTAAAATTATGTATGTTGTTTTCGCTGTTATTTTCTTGATAACCCTGCAGTTTTGGTACTTTCTACTTAACTCAAAATTTATTTAAGGCAATATTATTTGCTAGTTTTATTGTTTCTACTGTGATTGCATTGTAATTCAGAAATATCTGTCTTCTACTTTTTGCAGTTTGTTGATGTTTTCTTTAGAGAGCGTGTGTGTGTGTGTGTGTGTGTGTGTGTGTGTGTGTACGTGTGTACTTTTTTATTACTGTTTCTTGGGTACTTGTCAAAAAGGTTTTATATTATTATCTCTCTCTCAAAAAAAAGGTTTTATATTATCTGTTTTCAGAATATATTGTTTTGCTTTTATTCAGTTTTTCTTAATCTGTCTCCATTTGGTTTTATATATTTTGAGACTAAGATTTGACATATAAAAGTACTTAGCTATTTATATCTTTTTAATTGGCTTTTTAATAAATGCAGAATATTTCTTAGCCTTTATAATGCTTTTCTCCTCTTTTAATTTAAAAAATCTGATATTACTGCTGCTTTCTTTAAATTTTGTTAGCATTTCTTGGTAATATCTGTTTCTACAACCCCAATCCCCATTCCCCAACCCACAATTTCCCTGCATTGTTTTGTTTCAGGCGCTATTAAAAAAAAAAAAAAAACATATTTGTATTGATTTCAGAGAGGAAAGAAGAGGGAGAGAGAGAGAAATATCAATGATAAGAAAGAATCACTGATCGGCTGCTTTCTGCACACCCCTTTTGGGGATCAAGCCTGCAGCCCAGGCATGTGCCCTTTGACCTGAATCAAACCTGAGACCCTTCCGTTCACAGACTGATGCTCTAGCCACTGAGCGAAATCGGTTAGGGCTCAGGAGCAATTTTTACAAAGTATATTCCTTAAGTGTGATTTTTATTTTCTTAACTCCGTTTAAGGGCTTTAATTAACAAGTGAATTTAACACATGCACATTTATTAACGACAATAATAAGATAGTTCTTTTTATTGCATTTTCTGTAGCTGTTGAATGGATCACGTTTTCTTTTTTCTTTTCTTTTTTTTTCTTCTTATTCCATTGATTTGGATATTTACTGATATGATTATCCTAAGTTTTAACTACACATGCAAAATAGCCAATGTTTTAAATACATTTTATAATGTTTATTTATAATTATTGCCCAGCAACTTTGCCTTCCACTCCACCTATATACACTGTTAGTTTTTCCTTTGCTCTTTACTACTGTATCTCATGTTTACACTTGAGATTAACTTCAGGTTATTTAGTTTCATTTTGTAATTAATAATTACATTGTCTTAGATGTTTTTGGTTTTTATTTTCTGCATTATTTTTTTGTCTTAATTAATGTTTTTACTTATTTCTAGCCCCAGAACTGAGTGCCTATCTCAGCTTTGGTTTCCTTGTGGCACTTGACTGATAAGAACAGCAGTTGTTTGAAATAGGAATGGAATTGCTGGGTGGCATATAAACCTGCTTTCAAATTCCCTGTCACTCTTGAGGTAGTGTTAGGGTTCTCATGCATGTCTTCATGTGGGTCATTCAAGTGTTTTATATAGGTTATATATATTCTGATTTCTTGACTACATTGAAAAACATTTTCCTGTTGCTCTCACACAAATATCATCTTGTTTGGGTATTAAATTGTTGTCACCATCATTTCCTCTTCATAAAGTAGCAGACAAGCCTGGTTTTTTAGCAGAGTGTAGCTATACCACTTATAGGTATATTCAAGTGCCAAAAACCACTCTGAGTCCCAGGACTAAGTGTGTAAAAGCTGAGGGTTTTTTTTCTTATAATTTTATAATTATAATTACATACACTTTTTTGTTGTTTTAGAGGTACTTTAGAATATCCAGTGCCTTATATTTTTCATGACAAAGGAATATACATTATTGCTACATTCTGGGAGCATTAAATTGTCTGAGAGACAAAAATGTCATACATAAAGAAATTAGACGTAGAATGTACTTGGCCCAAATGATTATTAATAAGAGGCTTTTCAGTTGCCCTAAAAAACATTTTTTTTTTAAAATGTGGTTGGTGTGGCTCAGTGGTTGGCATTGACCTTTGAACCAGGAGGTCATGGTTCGATTCCCTATTGGGGCACATGTCATGGTTGCAGTCTTGATCCCCAGTGTTGGGCATGCAGGAAGCAGCTCATCAGTGATTCTCTCTTATCATTGATGCTTCTATCTCTATCTCCCTCTTCCTTCCTCTTTGAAGTCAATAAATATATTTTTAAATAAGAGGCCAAAATCATATGTTAAAAAGTATTACAATAGTATTGCCCTGGCTGGTTTCGCTTAGTGATTAGAGTATCAGCCCACAGACCAAAGTGTTGTGTGTTTGATTCCCGGTCAAGGGCACGTATTTCGCTTATGGTTTTGATACTCAGCCCCAGTTGGGCACATGTGAGAGGCAACCAATTGATATGTCTCTCTCACATTGATGTTTCTCACTCTCCCCCCCAATCCTCCTTCCACCCTTCCACTCTGTTTGAAAATCAGTGGAAAAATATCCTCGATTAGGAACTTAAAAAAGTAAGTATTGCCCAGCCAGTTTTGTTCAGTGGTTGATCATCTACCCAGGAACCAAGAGATCGCCTGTTTAATTCCCGGTCAGGGTAACTGCCCAGCTTGTGGGCTTGATCCCTGTTAGGGGATGTGCAGGAGCCAGCCAGTCAGTGATGTTCCTCTCTCATTGATGTTTCTATCTATCCCTCTCCCTTCCTCTCTAAAAATCAATAAAAACATTTTTAAAAAACTGTTAGTGATATAATCTAAATCCATCAGTTTTTTAGAGAAAGGAAGCACTAGTGGGGCTAGATTGTTAAATGAGAGGAGACTCTAGAACTGAGGGTGTGTAAGTGGAAATTGGATGACTATTGGGAACAACACAGATGACCAACACTTCACGACAGCATCATACGCACTGTAGGCATTGGAATAAACACTTGTTTTATTTGGGCCACAGTAAAAGCTTCGTTTGCTGAGTGTTTACATTATGCTGGATACTAGAACAAGACTGGCCTGTGTACACAAGAAAGACAGGGATAACCCAGCTAGAGGTTGTGGCTGTTTTAATTTCAGGCCTTGAACAGTTTTCTGTGAGTTTCCTCACAACTCATGTGGAGACATTTCACTTTATTTATGTGACAATGGCATTTGTAAACATGCATCAGAATCTCACAGAAACATTAAGCTGCTACAGAAGTTGAAGGTGGTATTGTGTCACTGTTTATATAGCCTTGTGTTTGTGCCACGAAAATAATCCACATAATGTAATCTAAGGACAGCCCTACACAGTTTTATCCCTGAGCCACGGCCTCAGTTAGCTTCCTGCACCTCGCCCGAAGGCACAGAGCTTAGGGGAGGCAACCTGGGCTGGAAACCTCGTCAGTCTCGCACCAGAAGTTCATGTACCTTGCTGTATCTGTGGTTCTAGAGATTGGGCATACCTTAACTGGCTTACGGCATGTCTGTCCATTTGTTTACTTATTTAATCTCTTCTAGGAGTTCAAAATTCACTCTCTGTAATTTCTGGTTGTTCATATAGTAGACAAATAGCTATTTCTGAGATTTACTTCTTCAATTTTGATTAGTCTCATAGATTTCATCCTGTTATCTTTGTATTTACTTCCCTGTTCTCAGTTTGATTCACACTTTACATTTTAACCCAAAAACATCAACTTTGCCTTTTTGTAAGGAAACAGATTGTTTCTTTCCTTCCTTTTTTCCTTTTATTTTTAAGTCTTATTGAAGATACCCCCCCCCTTTTTTTTTTAAGAGATAGAGTGGAGGGGAGGGAAGGAGAGAGAGAGAGAGAGAGGAACATCTATGTGAGAACAATCGATTGGTTGCCTTCTGCTCGTGTCCTGGCCAGGGAACCAGACCTGCAGCTCAGGTGTATGCCCTTGACTGGGGATTGAACCCACAACCCTTCAGTGATCAGGCTGATGTTAAGCGACAGATTTTCTACTCTTGTTTTTGTGTTGTGTTGTCTTTCGAAGATGAAAATACATTAAACATGAAGCAGATTAAGAACAGTTACCAGGGAATCGAGGATTCTTTTAAGGTTACCAAAACTTTATTGTGAGTTCCATAGTTGTATAATCAGTGCTTGTTCTCCAATCAGAGAATGGACTAGGATGGTAAGCTCAAGCTGTCATGGACCCAGGAATGCCGATGGTCTCCACCACCTCGCTAGATAGGGAGTTAGCAGAAGGCAACATGACTGCTGGTGGTGATCTCTCCTAGGAAAATGAGCCCGTGAATGAGGATGTCCCCACACATTTAAAGCTTTGTTCCTTTAGGATTGTTTTTCTTAGTGCCTTTTTACTTAGATGGCTAACTGTGGAGGTACACTTTACTGGCTAATCTTTTCCACCCCTTTTCTTTTGTCGGGATCAGTGCCAGAACAGATAAAGCCCAGTGTAAGCCAGCCTCAGCCTGCCAACTCTAATAACGGCACTTCCACAGCAACCAGCACTAATAATAATGCCAAACGAGCCACAGCCAACAATCAGCAGCAGCCGCAGCCGCCACAGCAGCAGCCACAGCAGCCACAGCCACAGCAGCCGCAGCCACCACAGGCCTTGCCTCGGTATCCTCGTGAAGTACCACCACGATTCCGCCACCAGGAACATAAGCAGCTTCTAAAGAGGGGTCAGCATTTTCCTGTCATAGCAGCAAACCTGGGATCTGCTGTTAAAGTGTTAAGCAGCCAGTCAGAAAGCAGTGCTTTAACAAACCAACAGCCACAAAATAACGGAGAGGTGCAGAACAGCAAAAACCAGTCAGGTGAGAGAAGGTGTTTCTTACGAGACTTGAGCTGTCATCACTAGCGATGGAGCAGGGTTATGAATTCATGGCTTTGGGGGTAATGGATTTGTATTCATTAGTATCTGGGTGGCAAAATAGCGATCTGTACAGGGAGTTATGAATAGGGAGTCTTGAAATGTTGCCTACTTTAAAAACCTTTTTAACCATTCTCCCTCCAGGTTCTACCTATTTTAATAAGCAGCTTAGAGTTAAAATTGATCATGCGACTATAACTAAAATTGAACACTTCTCTCAAGTTATATTCTAAGCAGTTAGACATATTATTGCATTCAATCCTCAGCACCCTGTAAGATGTAAGCTGTTCTTCTCTCCACTTCTCGTTGGAGGAAACAAGCCATGAAATAAGTTGCCTAGATCACTCAGTTACCATGCGCCATTGAAAGGCTACCACTCATGAAAATCATGTTCACACAGCACATGCCTTCAGTTGTTGCCTCGATTGGCTTTTCTCAGCTCACTAATGATGGTGAGGCAGAAAGTACACCTAGTGTGTGGTTACAATTTTCTCAAAGCCCAGTGCATTACGACATGTTGTTCTGATAGGTTCTGAGGGTTGGTTGCTTTGTTCATTCTCTTTTCAAAATATTTTGAAGCTTTTATCACAGGCCAGATAGAGAATTGAGAATCAAGGTTCCCACACATGGCAACACTGGCATACTGGCAATGAATCGAGTCTCTGGAGCCAAATGGACCTGGTTTTTGTATCCTAGCTCCACCTACATGCTCCATGTGTGTGATCTCACCCGAGCAGCCCTCTCTGCTGTCCCAGGCAGATGGCACTGTCTCTTTCTACACTCTGTCTATGGAGCAGGAGCTGTTCTACATGTTACGGTATTTCACAGCTAGTAACTAGCAGAGTCTGGACTCGGCAATGTCTGTCTGACTCCATAGCTGTGCTCATAATAACCATGCTGTGCTTTGGCAACCTACTGGCTGTGATGGGTAAGGAGGAAGAGGACAGAAATGCAATTTTTCTAGCATAGGTAATTAGAACAGCATGTTGTTATTGGAATTGATGAAAACTTGAATTATCATCCTGAGTTAATACCCTCCCTCCAGACAGTTATTACCAGGTGAGCTTGGCTAGATCACTCAGCTCACCTGAGTCCCTTTCCTACTCTCAGTGTAGGCAGTAATATCCATCCAATCTGTGAGATTGCTCTGAGGATTGAATTGTGGCATGCTAAAGCAAATAGCTTTGGCACTGGATGAATTCTCTCCCTCAAAAGTTGTACAGAGGACCTCCACTTTTCAGAAGAAAAGTCTGCTTTAGACACAGTCTTGATGCTAAACAATTGATAGTTGGTTTTAAGTTCATCTGGGAAGTCACATTGGAAGCAGATGTATTGAGTCATCAGCATAATAAGAAATGCAGTTAAAAACTTAAGTGAGGTTATTATACAACAGAGTACCTACTGCAAGCTAAGCAATAGTGGTATGGTAATTAAACAGGGAAGTGGGTGGGAAATTGAGAAAATGATATATCTTGAATATGCTTTTCTGTTTGGGAAATGAAAGAACAGAGCTGTTTTTGAAATGTAAACAACTGGAGTGTAAGAATCTTGCTTCTCAAAAAGGGATATGGTTCAAAAAATCCAAAAGTGTTACAGATGTACGTTCAGATGACAAGAAGGCCTAAGATGTGGACATAGGAAGATGTCTTCAGAAGAGTCTGAGAAGGAAAAGTATCCCACCTCTTCCTAAAGGACCTGACGGGCGCAAACAGCGTTCACACGGAGAGGGGGTGGAAGTGAGGAGAGTGTGGCTGCCTGACTGCGGTCTGTTAGTCCCAGCGACTAGAGTGCAAATGTTGAGGAAAAGCACTCTGCAGGAGACCAGATTTGCGCTTTTGTGTCTGTAAACATTTGTGAATTCCCACTCACCAGCAGATGTCACACATTTACATTAAAACTTCTTTGTGGTACTGCTAGGAATGGTTGTAGAAACTTTAGCCACAGAATAGACCCCTGGGTATCTGTGAGTCAGGGGAGACTTCTTAGACAGTTAACATTGTCCCAGCTCCTGAGAGGTTAATAGAACAACATAGTGACCAGCCCTTAATTTAGCCTGGTGGTTGTGAGGAGCAGCATTGTGGACAGCATCACAGCACACGCAGTGGCCCAGAAACAGGCATTCTGTGTTGCGAACTATATGCAGTTCAGAATTGTGGGGGCCGATCTGTTTTCATTTTTGTCTGTCTGTATTTACATTTGGCTTTTTGTCTCCTGAATAGAGATAGTTAATGGGGTAGAGTTGACATTTAAATAACTACATTCAGTACATACATAGAAATGTTTTTACAGTCTTTGTGCAATGCTGGATATGTCTCCCTTTTCCTCATATAATGCATGTCTCATGTATTCAGTGCAGTCTGGGAGTAGGGATAGTACCTACATGAGACTGGGTACTTTATAAATCAGAGGTCACAAAGTAAAATGCCTTCACAAGCTGGCAGGTAAGTGAAGTAAAAGGTGAAAAGGAGTGAAGGGACCAGCGGTAAATGTACTGATTTTTGTACCCTGCTTGAAATACCTTTACATCCTCATGTCACGTTTTTTAAAATCCTGTGCTGGTCAAACCAAACAACTCTGCAAGCTGAGCTGAAACACTTAGTGATGTTTCAGTTGGTGCTCTGAGACCTTTTGCAGTTGATTCCTTAGAGCTGTGAGGCATCAGGCCCTGCTACTGCCTAAATGACACTGGAATTTGCAGAGGACCAATGCTTAGCAGGCTGGCTCCAGTGTTTTTTTGTGGGCCAAAGGGTTCCCAACCCACATTTTATATTCGAGCTTACATGATAAATACAGAGACATTGAACAAATAGAACAGGGAACCCCTATATGCTGTCCACCCAAATCTATTAGTTGTTACTACTTACCTCTGCATACCCTCCCCCCTCATATAGACATACATGTGCTAAACATTCATTTCTTAACCCGTTGCACTCTGAACCATTCTGGACATTGGCTACCAGCTACTCGACACTACTTTGCAGCGGACACGTGCGTTGAATTAACTCAATTCCCCGTAATCACTAATTAACTGCAATGTCCCCCCTGAGAGGGGACATCCGAGTGATATGCTAGAATTCCGATGTCCCCTGAGAGGGGACAGCGGAGTGCAAAGGGTTAAATACTTACACAGGTAATTTCCTAAGAATAAGGACAGCCATAGTATTATGATCACCCCTAAGCAAAAGGGGGACACTCACATTTCTACTGGTTGTCCCAAGAATGTTTTTCTGTTTCTTCACAGTATGGTATCACTTATCCTAGATAATATGCTAATTAACCCTCACTTCCTCACAAGATGGCTGCCTATGACCAGGCCGGCAGAGGGGTTAGTTAGTGAGGGACAACTGAGCAAGCAGGCTTTGTGGGGCAACCAGGCCGGCAGGGGGTTAATGAGGGACGACCAAACAACCGAACAAGCAGGCTGCATGGGGCAATCAGGCCAGCAGGAGAGTTAGTGAGGGACGACCAAATGACTGAACTCGCAGGCTGTGTGGGACGACCAGGCTGGCAGGGGTTTAGTGAGGGACAATCAAACAACTGAACAGCAGGCAGGCAGGTGAGCGATTAGGAGCCAGTGGTCCAGGATTTCTAGAGGATGTCCGATTGCTGATTTACACCTAATCCCTGAGATCGGGCATAAACTGGCATTTGGACATCCTCCAAGGCACATGTGTCAAACACAAGGCCCGCGGGCCAAATCCGTCCCACCAGGCCTTGCAATGTGGCCCGCACCGCGCTGTCATCACTGCACTCCGCTGCGTTTCCATCACAATGACAGTTTATGACTGTTCAGTAAACCATTCGGCCCGCGATTTAGGCTGGATTTTAGATTTTGGCCCCTTCTCTGATTGAGTTCGACACCCCTACTCCAAGGGGTCCCAGATTGGAGATGGTGCAGGCTGGGCTGAGGGGGGGAACCCCACCCCCGTGCACAAATTTAGTGCATCGGGCCTCTAGTATAAAATATAAAGCATACAAACCAACATAATGTATTGCTTACTGATGAATTAAAATACAGTATTTTGAGAAGTTACCACTTGGTTATGCAATGGGAAAGGAAGGAGATATACTATTGATAGTAATCAGAAGGGATACACAAGGGTTTCATACTAAAGCGAGTAGTGTATTTCTTAAGGTGAGCAGCAGGCAGGTATTTTTATATTATTGTTTGTACCCTTTCTTGTTTTAGAACTTTTTTATTATAAAAAGGAGCTCAGGGGCATTGATCTATATTGGTGAAACACCAAGACTTGGGGGAAATATTAATAAATGTTAACATTAAAATTTCCAGTGATGTTTAAAGATTAAAATACTGTCCATTCACCTGTGCTCTTCACTGTCTTTTCTTTTTGTTTTAAGTTTTTATTGACTTCAGAAGGAGGAAGAGAGAGGGAGTTAGAAACATCAATGATGAGAGCGAATCATCAATTGGCTGCCTCCTGCACCCTCTTCCCCCCCCACCCCTCCACTGGGGATCGAGCAACCCAGGCGTGTGCCCCAGCTGGGAATCGAACCATGACCTCCTGGTTCATAAGCCAGTGCTCAACCATTGAGCCACATGGGCCAGGCTTGCTATCTTTTCAATGAATGTGGAACATATCCTTGTTGTCTTGTAACTTCCATTTCTTGCTCAACTTGTACCTTCCCCTTGGTCTATGAACATACTCAAGTTTCTATCACCCTTTTCTTTCTTTCTTTCTTTCTTTCTTTCTTTCTTTCTTTCTTTCTTTCTTTCTTTCTTTCTTTCTAAATATATTTTATTGATTTTTTTACAAAGAGAGAGAGGAATAGAGAGTTAAAAACTCGATCAGCTGCCTCTTGCACACCTCCTACTGGGGATGTACCTGCAATCAAGGTACATGCCCTTGACCGGAATCGAACCCGGGACCTTCAATCTGCAGGCCGACGATCTCTTCACTGAACCAAACTGGTTTTGGATCTATC